TAGGGAATCTTTCATGTTAAACTGACAAAGAAACTGGGAAACCACAACCATGCTTAGTCTGATGGGGCAGAGCTTCCAAGGAGACAGCTGGCTCTGTGTGAAAGCAGGAGAGGGATGGATGAGATGCTGAAGAGGAAGTTCTGTTTTAGTGGGGGGAAAAAAAACCCAACCACGTGGTTTTTATATTGCCTTTAATACCCTGTCTCTTGTGACTGGTGCTGTTGGCTTTCTGGACTAATTAAGTTACTTTTATGTTAACATACAAAGTAGTTGTTATTTCCCTGCAGAGGCCTTGTTTTATGACTGCTGTGAACGTGTCCAGTTGTATGCTTGTCCTTTACTTAAAACTAGGTCATAAGACTGAATTTCCTGCTGTGAAATACCACTAAAGTGCTGACTTATTTTGTGAATTCTCAACCTACACATTAAGCAGGGATTATAAATAACTGTGAACGTCAAACACCTTTTCAATTCTATATTAAAAATGTGTTCTAATTGCTCTTACTCCTCCCATCAGTGTCACTAACTCCCTGTGGAAGAAACTCTGTTACAAGAAAATTATTGCTCCTATGTTAGCATGTTGTGCCAGCAGAGAGCTCTCCTATTTAAAAGCCTATTCTCTTCATGACTGATGTAGATAGTTTGCCATTTTGAAACATCATTTTACTTGCAGTGTTTAGAAGGTTTTAATAATTATTTTTTTTATTTTGCTCTGTCAGGAAAATCTGGAGAAGAATGGTTCACGTGTTCTTGATCTGGAGCTTGAATTTGATGAGCGTGCAGTTCTCATGGAGAATATTGTTTATTTGACAAATTCCCTGGAGGTTGGTACATACTTGGGATATTCATTACTTGTGTTTTGTTGGGGTGGCTGGAGAGCCAGCCTTTCCTAAGGCTCTAAGCCTGTTTAATTACTGGGTATATGTTGCTGGAGTAGTAATTTCTTATCAAATTTCTGTATTTCCATCTTGCTGTTTGAAGTTGTCAAATATGGGTATATAAATCTGCTAAATACAGGCATGAGACATGGTTGTAGGTATGTAGTATACAAACATGTTCCCAGAAAACAGAGGTGGTTTTTACTGCACTTCTGGTTGTATCTGTGATAGTAAAGTCTAGTGGCAGTTTTGAAGGGACATTTTTCTCTGAGCCAACCAGTGTCTCCCACGTTTTCAGCTGAAGAAATGAGAAGGAGATAACTGAAGGCATTGCTAGGAAGAGTGGTCAGAGTCCTTAGCCTTGGAGTCTTACAGTGGCACATTAATGGTAGCAGGTTACTTTGCCCACTTTGAGGGGCATGTTCTGAGCAGGGCTTTTCAAACCATGCTATGTAGTGAAATGGGTGCCAGTCTAGTAGTACTTGGGGTGCTTCATACCATGTCCAGGGTTTACTTCAGTAGGCAACACGTTAATGAGGGGACAGCTCAAGCAGGTTGTGTTTTTAAACTAAAAAGACCTAACCACTCAAAACAAAACCCCACAAAAACAAACAATAACCCCAACCCCCAGATTGCAAAAGCAAAAGAAACTGTTCTAAGAGTTAGGGGGGAAAAATAAATAATTGCAAAACTTCCTATTGTAACCTGTTCAGAGTGAAGTCAGGAGTGAGCAACAACTTTTGTTTTAAAATACCTGTAAATCTGCCAAACCTGCTGCCCTGGGGGAGGGAGCCATTCAGCAGTGGATCTTTCACACTGAGGAATCTGGAGAAACTTGAGAACTGGGCTCCTGGATCTCCTGAGCTCTAACTGGAGCTGTCAGGTTCTGTGCCAGGGCAGAATTGCCCCATATTTCTGTATAAGTTGGTGCTCACTGGCCATCAGCTCTGCCACAAAGGACTTTGGGGTCACTGTGGGGTTGTCAGGACTAATGTAAACTTCCTGGGAGTGCTGTCACTGCAAACGAGCCGCGCTGCGGGGAGACCTGCGTGAGGAGCCGCCTGCAGAGGCTGGGATGTGACAGGTCAAGGGAAGTCACTCCTCTCTGCTCGGCTCTGCTGAGCCTGGATTTGGCTGTGTGTCAGCATCGTGCCTCTCATCCTCCCCCACCCTGCACCCCCAGTTAAAAGCTCGAGGATGGGTGGCTGATGAGCAGAGGCCCATGGAGGTGTCTGCGGGGGCCCAGCGGCGTGGCGTACAGCGGGAGGTGGAGGAGGGGGCTTGCTGAGATCACCTGAGGGGGAGATGTTGGAGGAGTCTTCTGCTCCTAAGAGTTAAAGGTAGTAAAGCCTCTTTCTTGGTAGCTGGCTGACAGTCGAACAAGGGACAGGAGCTGGGAGGTGCTGCTGGAGCTGCAGGAGGTGAGGCTGAGGTGGGCCATGGGCAGAGGGCAGCGGTGCAGCCAGGGGATCTCCTGTGGATCTCTGTCCTTGGATGCTGACTGGTGGGCACCAGTGTGACTCTCAAAGGTCCCTTCCAAATAATATCTTGTGATTTTTAGGTGTGCTATTGTTGCCTTATGTCACTGCACGTTTACTTTCCCCTATACTGTGTGAACAGTTGTTTGATAGACCTGGTAACTCCCATTGTTCCCCCCCAAATGATTAAACTCCTGTTTTTTCTCTCCTCCCCCTTTTCAATTTTTTTTACAGCTGGATCACATTGAAGTGAAGTTTGCTTCTGAAGCAGAAGATAAAATAAGAGAGGAGTGCTGTCCTGGAAAACCATTTTCTGTATTCAGAACAGAGGTAAAATCAGAAATTCAGATGTTCTAAGTCCAAAAACTTAATTTAAAAAAAAAAAAACAAACACACACAAAAACAACCCAACACAAACAAACACCACAAAAAACAAGACAAAACCAAATATGCCATTTGAAAACTTTAATCAGACATGAATGTTGGATTTAGTTTGCCTTTGCCCCAACAACCCTTCAAAACAAGAAGCATTTCCTGAAGCAATTATGATTTCTTTTTTTTTCTTCCTGTGTGGTGAGCACTAAATGTGACTATGATGGCACCTCAGCTTTAAGGCTCCTCCAGTCAGCACGATTTAATGATTTCACCTGAAGACTGTTCAAAATGAGTGACCTGAGCATTCACATACTCTTTGTTTTTTTCCTTCAGCCATATGTCTGATTTACTGCCACTTGGGTAAGGCAGATTGTATTCTGATTATAGACAAGCCAAAAACAGAGAATTGAGATGGTCTTATGCAAGTATGCCTGAACCTCACTTCACCACTGTAGAAACTGTGGTGTTGCTTATTATACTTGTTTTAAAGCATTACGAATTTCCATGCAAAACTTTGTACTACTTGTTTGTTGAATCCTAGGATTTTTTAATACTTTCTCTGTTTGTCTGTTAGTTTATAATGGGCTACTAAATTCCATTCAGATGCATAAAAATAAATGCTTTCAAAAAAAGTCTTCTTACAGGTGTCATGGAGACTTGGAAGAAGTGGGGTGTAAGATTAGTGAAACTCTACAACAGTGGTGTCATATATGAATACTTCTAGGTCTAACACTTGTCAACGATAAAAAAATTCATTGATTTCCCCATAATATGTCATAAAAGCTTGTGCATACTCTGGTTTATGTTGGGGGAGCACTTGCACTCTGCCACTGGCAGGCAGTGTTTCTACCTGTTCATCCATGCAGGCTGTTTGTTGTTAGAAGACATGTGTTTGAGTTCAGTGTTTCCTCTGAGGCTTGGATCACATACACAGATTCTCCTGTAACACTTGTATGAACTTTCCTGCAGCCCAGCGTGTCTGTATTCTTGGTGAACCCTCAACCATCAAATGGCCACTTCTCTACAAAAATTGAAATCAGGCAGGGAGACAACAGAGAGACAGTGATCAGGCGCTTAATGAAGATGGACAGAGGAATCAAAGGTAAACCACTAGCACAGCCCTGCAGCTCCCCTGTGGTGGGGAGGTGGGCACAGAACAGCATGGTGCAGCTCCACGGCAGGTGTTAGGTGTTAAGTTTCTGGCCAGTGTAATGTATGAAAATAGAAAATTTCTTAAAGGAGGAGCAGTTGTGGTTTTGGTGAAGAGTGCAGGGAGTGAGAATCAAACAAGTCTGAAGCACTGTGAGCTGGGTATAACAGGAACACTGGACCTTATCCAAAAGCTTGTGACAGCACAGTAATTTTTTTTCTGTCTGTCTTTCAACATCTTGTTTTTATGTTAGTGTCTATCTGTAGAACAAAGATAACTACATACTGATGATGGTGCACACAGAGGAATATATGATAAACTGCATAGCAAAATGCAGGTGGGGAGATGCACTGTATATCATAGAATCATAGAA